CTCCCCTTCTCCTCTCTCTCACGTCTGCTTTCATCTTCCTGGGTCGTTCTGTGGATGACCCAGGCCCTCAGGCTAAACAGCACTGAGGCCCATCCGCCCCACAGAGGGCAGTGCTGCCGCAGGCCCGTCTCTGGGCAGGTGCACCCCCAGCTCCGAAACTGCAGATACTCTGACTGCGGCTCCAAACGGTGAGCTCAGTGATCAACCATCATTTCCAAGTGGTGCCCACAGACTTCGAAACAGGCAGGGATTACTTTCCTGTGACAGGGCGCCTCGTCCAAGAAGGGGGGAATATCCCTTTGTCTCAACCACATGCTGACTGTGACTAGGGAAGATGAACGTCAAGCTCAACAAGGACACAGAAAGGGTCTTGACTTTGCAGGAGAAAAGGAAGCAGAAAAACAACGTTGGACCTTTTGGAGGTAAAACTTACCTGTCGCGGTAAAAGAGAAACATCCGGGGGTGCAGAAGCTGTTCCTAATTGAAAGCAAAGCAATCCTGGCAGGGGTGCCAAGTGGACAATGAACTGCTGAGCTTTAACATACTCATTCATCTCTGCCGTCCTCTTCTGTGAAAGTGCCCTTTTCCTTCAGATGACAGACTACTGAGCGTTCTCTAAACTCTTTCCCTAAATCTCTTACCTTGTCTCAAGTTGCTAGAGATCAGCTATTTTTCACAGACCCTGAGACCCCAGACTGGGCTGAAACCAGTGTTCATTCAGGAAGTGGGAGCTGAGGGAGGGGCTGCAAGGAGAGCTCAGCCCCCTTTAGAAAAGGAAACGGCGGGCCTGAGAGGACCCCTGCACTCTGGTTCTTTGCAGTGCGACTCTCTGGATGTTACTGTTCCCAGGCAGCGATCCCTCTGTGTGCACAGAATGGAGCCCTCTTCAGTCGCTGCTTCTCTGTCTCCCTCTCTTTCTTCTAGAATGTTTTGCCTGGGGAATCTGGGCATCAGAATTTAGTGATAACTGCACTTCCTCCAGCTGGAAACTTACCATCCTGCCCCTCCCCAGATGGAACCGTGCCAGTTCCGTGAGGAAGGGAGACTCAGGACCAAGGACACAATGAACCGGCGCCTGAGGCCTGTTTGGCTCAGCAATCAGCAGGTGCAGGCCCGCTGGGTCCTGGGCTGTTGGGGGCCCAGCCGGGGCTGCTGACTGCGTCACTCACCTGCTCCCAGCTTCTGCTTCCTGCCGCGGGCCTCTGAGTGCTCGTGAACCATTTCCTGAAGTTATTTTTCCAAGTGGCTTCTAACTCTGCTGGTTTGGGAGCAGCGTGAGTGGATCCCAGTCCCAGCCTCCGTGGGGTCCCTGCTCAGGCTCCGGGACTCTCCGAGGTCAGAGCTGCACCTTGCCAAGGTATCGCGTGAACTGGGGAAATCTCTGCCTTTTCCCGAGAATTCCTTCTTTCAGTTCCTTTCACATAAATATGCAAAACAGCTAAACACACTTGGTTCTAATGCTTTTAGTGGGAAATTAAAGTGCTTTGCCCCCATTTCAGAGGCCGGCTGTTCGGTGCCCCGGGGGATCGTGACCTAATTCAGGACGAGACCAGCCTGTGCGGGGCAGGTGCTCGCGAGGCAGAAGCTGGTGTTCTCTCACTTTATTTCCTTCTGCTCTGTGTGTTAGTTGTGTGAACGAACATCCATTCTAGGGTTAATTAGGCTGCAAACCCAAAACACAAATAGGAACTCGGTAGGAAGGGGTTACTGAGGGCTCCTCCTCCAGAAAAGACAGCCTCTGGTAATAATACGTATTTTACACATCACACAGCGGATCACGAGGAGGAGGTTCCTTGGTGGTGATGGTTCAGAGTCCCCTTGCCCATTGCTGCCTGGTATTCTCTGAGGGCAAGAGAGTTCAGACATCATCGCAGGTTTGCTGGCCTGGGCCTCCAAAGGCCCTGGGGACAAAGTGGCCACATGGCTGCCAGGTAGCCAGGCTCTCTTGTCTGGGTCTGGAAAAGGCAGACCGTCACGTTCTGTGCATCGGAATCATGAGGCCAAGCCAAACATCGTCTCCTCTTACTCATGTCTAAAACAAAGCGAAGAGCAAACAGTCCAGGGTCTTAGAGGCCAAATCTATTCTAAAGATGTGTGGGGTTTTATTAATTCGATATGCTTTCTATTTCCCACCATTAGATAAGTATAGAAAATGCTTAAAGACTATATAAATCGATAAGAACAAACCATACAACTCAATAGAAAAATGGGCAAAAGTTATAAACAGAAAACTCACGAACGAGGAATACGACGGCCAAAAGTCCTGAGAGGACACTCCTTCTGCCTGGTGCCTGGGGACGCAGGTGGAGATAACGAGGCCATTTACATGAAGCTGACAAAAATTAAGCACATCAGGGTGCTAGAGCCCTGTTTGGCTGTGTCTGGAGTCATGTTGGTCTCACAACAAGGGGAACTACTGGGATGTGGTGGGGGGAGGCCAGGGACGGGGCTCAACGTCTGCAGTGCACGGGCCAACACCCCCACAGAGGGCTACCCAGCTCCGTGTGTTCCTGTGGTGGGGACAGGAAGCCCGAGACACGGCGGAGGGACAGAGGGCAGCCAGGCCTGCCGGGTGTGCAAGTGGGGACGGAGGCCAGCTGAGGCCAGTTTGAGGCCACCTGGTACAGACAAAGCTGTGCACAGACCGTGGCCTCATAATTCCTTCCTGAGGTGTATACTTTAGAAAAACTCTCACGTGCAACACAAGGAGACACAGCGAGGAACGTCTGTGCAGCGCTGCGTGGGTAAGTAAGGGATGACATGTTTACACGACATAGTATCACACTGCACTAAGGTGAGTGACCTACACACGCCCTATGGGTACGTCTCACAAGCATCGCGTTGAGAAGAAGACATGCTGGAAATGCTGGCTAACTCTTTGCCAAAATCCCAATGACATTTTGCAGAAACAGAAGATCCCATCCAAACATTCAGATGGAATCTCAAGGGACTCAAATGGCCAGACAGTCTTGACATGAACAAAGGTGAAGGCATGACACTGCCCGATTTCAAACTCATCACAAAGCTGCAGAAATAAACGCGCGGTTCTGGCACAAAGGACACGTGGACCAGGGGGTGAGGACAGAGAGCCCAGGAGTGCCCCTCACACATGAGGTCAAACGGTTCTCCACAAGGGTGCCAAGACCATTCATTCCATGGGGAAAGGACACTCTTTTCAACAAATGGTGCTGGGAAACCGGACACCCTCATGCAAGAGAATGAGGCTGGACCTTCAGCTCACACCAGCTACAAAATTAACTTGATGAGCCAAGGACCTAAATGTTTAAAACTCTTAGAAGGGAGCAGACGGCAAGAGCCTCAGGACACTGGATTTGACGGTGACTCCTTGGATGTGACACTAAAGGTACAGGTAACAATGAAAAAAACAGACAAATTGAACTTCATGAAAATTAAACAATTTTGTGCATCAAAAGGCACTGTCAGTAGAGTAAAAAAACCCCACAGAATGGGAAAAATAATTTGCAAATCATGTTCCTTTAAGTTAGATTAATATTCAGAATAATACAGAGAACTCCTAAAACTCAACAAAA